AAACCAAAACCACTCACTGAACTCCGCATTAGTAGGCCACATATCTGAGGTATTTAATTTATCAAAATAGCTTTCCGGAACTCCAATCACAAACGAAGAATAATCTCGCTCAGTGCTGTGTTTGATTTTGTCTATTTTAATGTTAACATCCAACCCACAAACATTTCTTACATGGTCCGTTATCGCTTCTATTGTCGTTTCTGTATGCAAACGCCAAACGTGTAGAAATTTTTTCTTCTCGGTTGCTTGAATTCCCGTTAATTCGATGTTCGTGCCTACCCCCACCTCTCTAGGTTGTCGGTTAGATTTGCGCCTGCGTACTGTCGTCCAGCCAGAATCCTTATCGTTGTCTACAGTAAACGAATCAGCAGATGTTTTTTCGTCGGCAACACTTGTAGAGGCTACCGGTTTCACAGCAGATTTCGTGGCCCCACCTTTGTTTACCTTCAAAGTTTTGGCGTAGGTATTAGTCGTTTTTGTAGAACTTTTTGAATTGTTTTCTATGCTAACGATTTCCGCAGAAATGGTACTAGCTGTAGATTTACTCAGCATCTCCGTACTATTCTGAGTAAGCCTTGCGTCAACTTTTTCTTCAAGCACCCTCATTACCTTTATAACATTATCTAACTCCTGTTTTGTTTGGCTAAATTGGTTCAGTAATAGTGTAATTGCGTTCGCCTGACTATCCATTCGTTTTATCATTTCTGATCGGAATTGTCTTAATTCCTCAAGAAGTGTTGTATCCGTGTCCATAATTGTAGGAGTAACGTGAATCTGACTACCTCGCAAAGCATTTATGCTATTAAGCGGAGTAGTTGACGACAGTTTGAAGTCAAGCGAACGGATAGGAGTCTCGCTATTCCCTCTTTTTGGTCTAGCACATAGACACTCCGGACACATCCAACCCCTCTTAAATTCCTGGGTATAGTTATTAAATACAGCGACGCTTATTTCAAGACAATCTAGAATTATTGCATCAGCAACCCTTTCAGAAAATGTTCTATTTTGAAATATAAATAACCGTCATGATGTCCTTTCCTACTACCTCTAAAATACAATTAAACTCTGTCTTGTAGCTTGAAACACATATTAAAACTTTACGTTTGTCACTCTTAATAAAATAGTGGACAATAAAAACATATCAACATGACCAACCAATCTTCAAAATTAAGTTATAAACAGGTTAATAAAAGTTAAGAAGTTTAGTACTAAGTAGTAATGTAGACTGTACACTTTGGAACATGTTTTCATTTCGCGCGGCAGTCATTTTAGTGGTCACAAAACATTATACGCGGGACCGTAGTCGGTCATAAATCAGAGATTATTACTACACCGAGTTACGAAAACTGGAATAGTATTTTACAGATTATAAAATCACAACTTATCTTAAATTAAACAACCAAATTCTAAAGAACTTATTCTACCGTCTTAAACGGCACAAAGGCGACATATAAGTACATACGTAGGCTGCCCAACTATGGGGTTTTCTCCTGTACGCGTAAGCACATTTATAAATATATTATTATAATTTCACAGACACTTCACACCCATTTCCAGAAAAACTATTTGTAGATGACACAACGAGTTTTTCACAATCCGCGACACATTGCACCGCAGCCGGTTGCTCAGCTACTGAACCAACCGTGCAGTCGAATAGTAGATATTCATAATTCAACCATTTTGAATCAAGTCTCTGAAAATTCTAAAAACGACCTTACATGTATCAAGGTCAAAGTGTACAAAGTGACTGAAGATAAAATATGATATTTTTAGAACAATACAGTACACACAGTACCGAGAAACTATTATTTAATTAGACAAAAATGAGCATGAAATTAATTATGAAGCGAATTTAGTTTTTAATGGCAATTAGCTTTTATTTATTTTATGCCTTTGTCCACAAAGTATTTGGAAAGCGTTACAAAAAGAACTTTTGCTTATTATTTTTAGATCCTTTTTTTCAAATTATCGCTATTTTTGGAGTCGAGTAACTTGCACGTTGCAGACTATTTTTTCTGCTTGTAATTTGTCGGATTGTAACATCATTAGACTGTAAGTGCTCACTGCTGAAAAGGCTTCCCATATGGAGGAATTATAATCATTAATCATTTAGCTTGCTCAAGACGGATTGGCGATTCCGAACTTATATTATTAGAAATTATTAGCCTAGGTTTCGTCACGATGTTTTCCATCGATGCGGATGCCATGATGAAGGATCGCCGAAATATGTTCCAATCACAGTTAGAATGTCAAATTGTAAATACTTAGATTGAACTAAGACGTTTGCTCGATGCCATCATCTACCTCGAGACCTCGCTTAACCCGGTGACGTCACTGCTATCAAACACGGTTTAAGAACGTAAGCATAATGTATTTGCCAAGTGGTAAGCTATGGCTGCCGCCCGTGAACACTCGTAAAAACAAAGGAGTTACTACAAGTGCGTTGCCAGCCCCTTTGGGGGTTATTAGGGATTCTAGGAATAGGGGATTTGAGGATTGAGTCTGACACCTAATTGATAATCGAAACCTTATTCAAATGCAGACAAAGCTAACAAAAACTATACTCAGATATTTTAATAAAAAAAATAACTTGAGACGTATTATTCTATTTATAGCATTGGCCGAGCAAGCGAACTCCAAGAAATCTAAAGATCCGGGCTACTGAAAAAAGAATGTATACATAATGTACTTTCCAAGTGTATTTAGACACCACACTGTCAAATGGTGAAGGAAAACAAACAAAACAACAACAGGAAAACCTGGACTTTTAGTATCTTATTGTACTTTTACAATAAGATACTAAAAGTCCGGCGCTCAGGGCGCTTTCGCCCTGAGTAAGCATTGTGATTAATACTCAAACCATCTCCGTGTGAGAAGAGGCCTTTGCTCAGCAGTCGGCACTTACAGACTGATGATGACGATGAAGAAAAATAGGTAATTTACATATAAAACACAAAAGAGATTCTCATATTTTATTCCTAAAGACTTTTCAGAACTCAGGACGTACTTGAAACCTCACTGCCCTTTCCAGTAACTTTCAACTTTAGTTCTGTGTGCGTCGCTCGCAGCTGGTCTATATTTAGTTCAATACATTTCAAACTGTTGAAAATATCTATATTTAGAACTTAGCACTTCTAGGTTCTCCCATATAGTTTGGGTTACAATAGTTCTTTGTATATCTGTGTTTAGTTTGTATTAGAACGAAGCTAAGATGTTAGTTATCACGTTAATTGTCAAGTTTAGGGTTTAGAGTTCAATCTTCGAGGGGACAAAAGGTTATTAACGTTTTTAATCATGTGTTAAGTCAAAGTCAAAATCATATATTCCAACTAAACCGGTACTTTTGAAAAGTAAAACGGGGTTAAATAGAATACAGACCGTCCGTCTAAAGCGTACATTTGAATGAATGAGATGATGATGATGATGATGATGATGATACCAAAGTGAAAAATAATTAATTTAGATTTTTCATCACAATAAAAATATCAAATCATACTTTGTTTTTAATACTTTTTTTGACTAGATGCTAAATATCCGATTCAAGTAACGACGATCGCCAGCCACCGTAAATGAGTAAACCACAGTAAAAGTCTGACACTCTCTCTCGCCCCACCTTGATCGAGAGAAGTTATTTGATGATTTTACTCCCTCAAAAAGAGCAACCAGCACGATTCCGCAATATTTTTTCTAAAACTCTCTTTCTAATTGTGATCTTAAGTTCTCATCTTCAACTGAGTATCTTTAGGAAGAGTGAAAGATGTTATATTTATGTCTGTTTGTGAATTTAAAGCTTAATTATATGCTAATATTATAATGGTTGGTTTGTTTGAACGCGCAAATATCCGGAACGACTGGTTCAAATTGAACAATTCTGTTTTGTTTGTTAGTCCATTTACAGAGGAAGGCTTTAAAAAATCACGTTTCGATTTGTAGGAGCAGAGCAGCGGGCGAAACCGAATAACAGTAGCTAGTAACGAGATAAAATCAGGGACTTAATATTTGGGATAAATTATATTATTATAATCCTTAGTAACTGTCTGACCTAATTACCATCAGAACGGGGTCTTATAACAATATTTGTTGTATTAAAGGTTTATCGCTATTGACTTAGAAATATAACTAAATATTGAAGACAGGGTCGTCCCAATTTCTTACCTAATAAATAGGGAAGAGTGGGTGTATCCCATTAGGATCTTTATATTCATTTCTACGAGTGGGAGAGCCGTGTGCCGCCATAATTTATGCATTATAAACAATTCAGTTTAATTTCAGGATAAAAAAGTTAAGAAGAATAGAATATAGATAAGAAGAAGAAATAAAACCTAATCCAAAAATGTTACTCAATAAAAGAGTTTTCAGCTTATAATAAACAACATATTTCCCTGTAAAAAATTGGTATTTTATAAAATCTCAGCTATAATGTTTAAGGTTTGAACATCGTGTTTTGATGTATAAGAAAACTTCTTTAGTTAAATTGGTTCGACATACGAAACGTCAAACGAGCATACGGATTATCTGATGGTAAGCAATCAGCGTCGCCCATGGACACCCGTAACACCAAAGGACACAACAACAAGGTTACAAGTGTGTTTCCAGCCTCTTGTGGGTTATTAGGGATTTAAGGATAGGGCATTTGAAGATTGATTGATTGTTAATCGAAATCGTAATTCAAATACAGACAAACAAAGCCAACATAAAATAAATACTCAGATATTAAAGAAAAACTTGAGACGTATAATTCTATTTATAGAAAATTTCGTATTTAGGTCAAAGATCCGGGCTACTGGAAAAGTTTCTAATAAGATTAAATGGTGGCCGAATCATATTGATCATGTTAATTTATTTTTTATCCAGGTATCGCAAAAAGTCACGCACTTATAAATAAGCCTTTGATGCAAATATTTTTAATCATGGCCTTAGTTGGGTGCATCATAAGGAACAGGATGGTTTTCAGTCAGTTAGAGTCAGTCACTCCCTATCATCATACTATAGCGAGAGAAATGCTGGTGGTGCCGCGGGTGCGCACCAACCTGCTGGGGCGCGCGCCGCTCACTCGTGCGCTGCGCACGCTCAACGCGGTGGCTAATGTCATTGACATATTTAACTATACACTGAGCGAGTTCACAAGGATGATACAGTGAGTGGCTGTATAGTATGTAAGGAAATATAGTTTGTAATTTAAAGTTAAATAAGTTTATTATGGTCAATAGTTTAGGAAACATATTTTAAGTGACTATGTCGAATTAGGTTAAGTTACCTGTAATAGCGAAATAATATGTAGAAATAAATAAATAAACAAATTGGATGAATTTTCCACTTTAAAAAAAATTTAATAACACTAAAGTTTGATACACAAAATTATTCGAGCAGAGAATAGTTACTTGCTTAACAAACACACGCTGCATATAAAACACACTTAGGTATCTCAAATGAAATGAACATCAAAACGTTCAAAATGAAATTCTTTGATCCCTATATAAACATACACATATATGTAAAAATACGTATTTTCAAACGATTCAATAAAGAACATGAAAAATCTAGTTCACATCAAATTGTCACATGCATAAACATCACAGGCTTACAGCATCCATTTCACTCAAAAAATATTTATCAAAACAAACTGAAAAACTCTTTCATGAGAAACTACTGTACAGTAAATCCGTTTATACCTACAGCTGAAAATAGAAATATCAATCCATAAAAATGTCTGAAACTGAAGCTAACGAGCGTACTGAAAGCTGTATCGTGATTTCAGCCGCTAGAGGGCGCTGAGCTCAGCTGTAAGCCGCTTGTTACTTCATGGATTAGAAGACAACTGTTGCGTGTCATTTTCAGGACTGAAAATGCACTGAAAGAATTTAGTTTGCAGTGAAATGCAAGGTGAAATTTACTTTGCCTTTTAAAGATTTGTAGGCTTCTTGGGCTTAGGATTTGTAATATAAAAATGTGTTTTAAAGATGTCCTAGTTTTATTATCTTAAGAAGATAATAAAAGAAATTACAATATAAGTACATATAATAAATATACTTTAAGAGTGGGAGAGCCATGCTTTTGCACGAATGGGTCGACGGGAGTGATACCAAGGCCTCTTAAAAAACCGGCGTGAAACAACAACAGCGTTGTATTTCGCAGTGTGAGTGTACCTGAGGCTCAATCCTTTCTATCCCCCAATTACTCCCCAATCCGAAAATCCCCAAAATCCTTATCTAAAAGTTCGGCAACGCACGCGTAGCTATTTTGTTGGTGCATGCCATGTGCAGCGCCGATTCCTTACATAAAAATTAATCTACTTATGTTTCTCACGCCACTTCTATAAGTGCCTTAAGTGGCCAGCTAACCCTCACTGAGATTATTGCACCTCGCCCTTATTCTGTTCTGCTTACGGCTTCACACATAGCAAGTATAACAATAAATTCCACCTTTGCTATTTGATAAATAAACTTAGTTTTTTTTTCATCAACCCAAAGCTCCTTACCACCAGGTAATCCGTAGGCTTGTTTGTCGTCCATATCCATCGCATAAAAATTGCGAAATAGTGTCATTTCTAGAATTAATAAAATCAAGCGGCCCACGCCTGTCCAACTGCTGCGCTTATGAAAAAGAGTCTTGTTGGGATTTGAAACTAGTGAAGAGGTTTTTTATGTCATAGATGGATTATCTGATGGTAAGCAATCGCCGCGAATCATGGACAGCCGCAACACCAGTGGAGTTACAAGAGCGTTGCCGGCCTATTGGGTTTAGGATTCCGGGTTCCACCCAAGTTTTCCAAAACGTCGTGGTATCACTCCGGTCAAGCCGAGCCATTCGTGCGGAAGCAAGTCTCAAATGCAGAAATTTACTGCATGTGAGGAATAAATAGACAGGTCTGTCTGTCTTTTCTTCGCGCCTAAACTACTGAACCGATTTCTTTAACAGAATTTGGTGCAGACATAGTTTGGAACTCGATAAAGGACATAGGATAGTTTTTATACCAAAAATCTGCAGGAAGTCACTATTCCACGAGAACGGAGTCACGGGCAAAAGTATGTTTTTTATTAAGTAATTTAACAAAATTGCAAAATTTTTTCAATGCAGCTTCCTGTGATTCTGGTAGAAGTTCGTGTCAAAACATGGCACTTTTATAGGAAAATGGTATATTATAGAATTATAAGAAGCGTGTTATCTACGTTATATCTTCTATGCTATAAGAATAAATACATATTAAGAATTCCACATTATACCTTTATCTGAAAAAAGTACACAATGCATTTTCAATCTTATTGGAACATTATTAAATTGCATTTTCAATTCTACCATTCGCAATGTTCACACTAGTACAGCGACAAGCGTAGTCATTTGTGTAATTGGTCCGCAAACTCTAATTCGGGGAGTGTGAATTAAGTGAACCGGTTTTAATTACAACTGCTAAATTGATTCAGAGTACAATTTGCAAACGGAAAATTGATTGAAATTGAGCTACATATATTTATTTATTTAATAAATAAGCTTTATGCACATATATTTCTGTCTGTCTGTCTTTTCTTCACGCCTAAACTACTGAATCGATTTCTGTGAAATTTGGTGTTGGTACAGATAAACATAGTTTGGAACTCGAGAAAGAACATAGGATAGTTTTTACACCAAAAATCTGTAGTAAGTCACTAGTATTCCAAGCGAACGAAGTCGCAGGCAAAAGCTAGTCTTAAATAAAGATAGACATACTATTTTTTCTGGAAAACGCAATAAATATAACAATGGAATTATCTCAACTGCAGACATTGTAACAGTCTAAGATTATTTAACACAATACATTGAAATTTACAAAACTTTATCTTCTTTCAAATAAACCACAGAATATTAAGACATTCAGAATAAGATTTGAATATTTGAAATGAAAACTTTTTAGTTAAAATAATCTTTTAAATTTTAAATTCAGTACTCGTAAAGGTTATGATCCATTGAGAAATGTGAATGAATTAATTTATTTTAAAATTCCAATTTTAATTCAGAGTGTTACTGTTACATTGAAGTTAGAACATTATGAATACATAATAGTTTGATTTGAACGTGTAATAATTTGAATTAAAAAGGCGTTTTAAAATCTACTTTTTTATCACGTGGTTCAATAAGTGTTTAGAGATACGGGTTTATAGTAAAGTCTTAGTCTTAATAGAGCTTAGCATGTATGGTACTTGTGGGTTATTAGGGATTTAAAGATAGGGGATTTGATTCAGGATGGGGGGAGGGTGAAGAATTGTGTGTCTCGTAACATCACTCACACGGGGAAACACAACGTAAGCGTTGCTTCACGCCGGTTTTCTGTAACGCCGTGATATCACTCCGGTCAAGCCGGGCCATTCGTGCCGAAGCATGGCTCTCCTACACTTGATGTATATTAAAATAAATATTTAATAGTACAGTAACGTTACATATCACTAGCTAATTACAATTGCAACATCCGAGAATATACCAGTGAATGCCAGTCTTTAGGCTTCAACCTACGCTACCTAATGCATTGCTCCCACGCATTCTGGTATTCATTTCACTGCATTCAAACTGTGTGCCGAGATTAGGCACCCACCGGAGTTTAGCACAGCGTTTTAGGATTTACGGAATTCCGGCGATAGAGAGCGCAATGTGCCAAGTTAAGCTGACGCCATTTTAGTTTTACGAACATTTTCTAATGGCTTGATCTGGCTTATGTGTATGACTGGTAGTTCGTTGAGATGTTGTTGCAGTTTTAAACCTTTTATCGTTTATATAGTTATTTTTTGTGAACTAGGAGAAAAGAGTAAACGGATCAAAAAAGGGGTTCTAAGGACGCGACGGCATGCCTTTTAGGAAGGTGAATGGTCTTTTCTTGAAGGTATTAGGATATAGTAATTTTGTCTACTTAAGGCGTTTCTATCAATACAATATATGAAGCTAAGGATAATTGCTTAACCTCGTATTTTTAGCCTTTTTCTTTTGTTTTGTAATAGCTAACTAATTTCAATCCTGTCAACTATTAACTTATTTTACTTTATCTAATTCTTAACTTTTTAGTTTTTTCTCGTTTACGCAATCTGGTGTAAATTAACTAATTTATTAAGATAGTAATAGCCTAATTGCAACGCCTGAATAAGGCCGTTAAGCTGTGCCTGTTATTTTAATTTAAGATCCTTGTACCTTAACTACCTTAAGTTGCAAAATAATAATAAATTTGAATTTAACTTAACGGTTACTTAACTAAGTCTAAGCAATTCTTTGCTAAACTAAGTTTCAAGTCATAATCCACGTACCCACGCTGCTCATATCCCATTGTAACTTGAAACAAGTATAGTGTTTCTTAGTCATTTCACGTGAGGAAGACAATATTTAATTTTGAAAGTCTCACGATAGTTACTATTATACAATATAAGGAATAGTTTGAGCAACCTTAAGATGAATAGGTTCAGTTCAGTTAGATTAACTTTTTATTCCTTACCCTTTTGACCAGCACGTCGATTTTATAAAATTTGTTTGATTTTGTATCTTGTTCGAGTGTGAAGTGAGCGTCGAAATGACGGAGAAATTTCATTATAGAATGCGACTGTTAACCTCATCTCTTATTTTATCTATCAAAATGTTGCTGTCAATTTAGTTCAACTCGCAAGTGTAGCGCTAGTGTACTACTACTCACAGCGGATTCAGATTCGAAGTTTATAATGAAGTCTTACAGATTCACACTGCAGTTTTATTACAAGTCATTAATTCCACTGTATAGACAAAAATACATCACTATAAATATACAATCGATCCGAATTTAGCCTCACAACTACAACCTTACACGGCTAACCAAAACAGGACATTACGTTGTCAAACCTACCACCAAATCAAAGCTTACAACATTGATATTATCACTAAAAATACCCACAGACATCCATTTACTTACATATAAGTACTGCGTTTGTATAACACGAGTAATTCTGAGTTCGCTAAAGGCTATTCAATGAAGCTATTCGTGCCCGCAGGCAAACACATTTCGAATGTAAATGTTGGCTATATGTGTGTGCCCTTAGCGGACAGACGGACCGACCACTGCCTAATTTCGTGCCCGTCACATTAAATGTTATGTCATTCCTCTGTTTTTTTTTTATTTCTTTATTCTTTATGTTACTTGATTTGAATGTGTTTTGGGTGTCTTGTTCTGTATGTGAGTTTGGGTTTTTTTATGGTATAGGTCGGCAAACGAGCAGACGGATTACCTGATGGTAAGCAATCAGCGCCGCCCATGGACACCCGCAACGGAGGAGTTACGAGTGCGTTCCGGCCTTTTAGGGATTTGGAGATTTAGGGATTGAGGAGGGATTGGGGAAGGGGAAGGATTGGGCCTCCGGTAACCTCACTCACACGGCGAAACGCAACGCTGTGGTTACTTAACGCCGGTTTTCTGTGAGGCCGTGGTATCACTCCGGTCGAGACGACCCATTCGTGCCGAAGCATGGCTCTCCCACACTTAAACACACACACACCGTGTGTCTGGGAACAGCCAATTTGATCTGTGAGTTTACATATTTTTATATTGTAATGCTGCAAACGAGTGTTACCTAATGGTAAGCAATCGGCCCCGGCCATGGACACCTGCAATACCAGAGGAGTTGTTGTTTTATTGAAGATTAGGGATACGGATATTTAGGGATTGGAGAGGGATGGGCGGAAAAGAGTTAAACACAACGCTATGGTGGTTTCACGCCAGTTTCTGTAAGCTTAGATGTAACAATAATGTTTTTAATAGCACAATTTTGTGACGTAAGAGCCTTTTGTCAATTAAGATGTTACAAGCGTGTTTGAGAGCCATGCTTCTGCACGGATGGGCCGGCTCGACTGAAGTGAAAGGACGGCCACACACAAAACTGGTGTCAAACAACACTTATTATGTCTTTCACCTTGTAAGTATGGTTAATGGACTCGCATTAATTCCCTTGGCCCCATTCCCAAGCCTCAAATTACGATCTTATAAAATTTCAGCAACTCACTCCTAACTTTTTTTGGTGTTGTGGATTCCATGGGCGATGCCAATTGTATATCACCAGGTGATCAGTTTTTAGGGTTGTCGGCCTAACACATAAAAATAAATAACTGCACTGCCTGCAAAAACATAAATGTAAAATATTCTCATACTGGTATTACAATTAGCAAATAATAATTTAAATTGGTATATAAATATGGACTTACAATCCTGTCCTCTCTTTATTAATTTATACAGGCGTGATATGCAAATGAGGGCATGGACCTATCCACCAACACATGCATTTGAGAGAGTCTTTTTTACACGGTGAAATTATAGGGTAAACGTGGGTTCGATTCCCACTCACGTTATTATATATACATTTTGTTGGAGAAAGAGCAGAAAATTATGTAGTAGGAGTCTTACCATTTAAAAAATAATGAGTTATTATTAAATTAAATAAGAATTATTAAAAATAAAATAAACCAGGTACATATTATGTCAGTCTATAAATTATCAGTAAAAATAAAAAAAATATATTCTTTGAAAATGTAACTGAATAATGTTTTTCTTCTTAAAATGAATAATCAATAATCAATACTGACACCTGATTCTATTAAGAATTGATTGTAAATCATTCATTCATTATTACACAATCGAATGAAATCGTATTAAACTGAATGAAACGATTCATTATTCATTCTAAAAAAAGTGGCTTTACAAATGTTCTTTTACAATCAGGCAAAGGTATTGAGCCATTCTGCCAGTAACGTCAGGTGTGACGTCATGACCTTTGATTAGAATTTTGATAGGTTTAGTGGCATCCTACACATCCTATTACTGGGAGGTAGCACCTTTAATTGAAGCAAGAATAGGTACTGTATTACAAATTAAAAAATATAGTGTAATTTTGATATTTTTTTGGTTTTGATTATAACTTCGTGGTGTCTTGAAGGTTATGGCACCCGCTTCTTATGGAAAGTACCAATGTGACTATTTCCGAGTTATACGTACTTTTTATGATTATTTAGACACTACTAACATTCGGTGATGCAAAACATCGTGAGGAAACCTGGACTTATAATTTCTAATTATAAGTTTGAAATAGCCAATCCACGTTGAGCAAGCGTGGTGATCAATGTTCAAACTGTCTCCGTGTGAGAAGAGGATTTTGCTCAGCTGTAGGCACTTGTAGGCTGATAAGGATGGTGATGATTATAGGCACTGGTTGCTGATTGGGAGTAGGGATGAAATACTACCACGATAGTAATAGTTTGGAACCATAGAAAGGATGGCGGTACGATCACTGTCGTGTCGTGTAAAACAATTAAAATTTAAATGTTTCATGATGTGCTTTTTTTATTAAGTTTTTTAATGTGTCAGCTGTTTAGATCAACCTTCATGTTTCATTCTCATACCATAAACTTTGTAAGTAAATTATATTTATATCTGTACAGTTTTTATATATAACATTTTAATGTGACTTACTGAATATTCGCAGGTTGTAATGTGGAATCTTCCAGTACAAAACAATCAAACCAGCAGATTTTTTGTACTTTTGTAGCTCTATAGTAATTTGGACTTCTCACAATTTGTGGCTATTCTTACCTGAAACAATAAGCAATAGTTAATATTAGTAGGTTACACGGCAACATTACTATGAAGGTAAAAAAAATATAGCCAACCAACATAGAGATTTATGGATTGCTTCCACCCACGGCACCACCTGAGTGGTGGATAAACAGTAAGCTATGTTAACACATAGTCTCCAGGGTAAACCAGGATAATCCAGGGTATTAGTCTCCAAGGTAATCCAGGGTATCACCTACATACATTCCAAATTTCACCCAAATCAGCCCATCCGTTTTTCGTGAAAGAACCGCAAGCATATGCTTATAATAAACATTCTCATAAACATTCACATTTATAGTATTACTGGGATGTTATTCGGATAATGGGAATACTGTTATTTATGAAAACATAATTTTGTACAAGTTTTATGTACTCCATAATCTGTTATCGGTATACACATACACACATTTACACATATCTCCTTAATATTACTTGACACACTCATAGAAAACGTCACGCTGAAAAAGTCAAGCTTAGGCAAGAATGAGTCAGTTCGACTGGAGTGATAAAACGGCTTCAAAGAAAACCGGCAAGAGATAAACAACTACAGCGTTCTGTTTTGCCGTGTAGGTGAGGATATCGGAGTTCCAATATTTCCCCTCCTTCCATTGCTCGTTAATCCCTAAATCTCGGAAACCCTAATCCCCAAAAAGCCGGCAACGTACTCCTTCCACCCTGGTGTTACAGGTGTTTATGGGCATCGCCAATTGCTTACCATCACGTAATCCGTAGGGTAGTTTGCCGATCAATCATATATAAAAATGTGGGCGAACCTCGCCTTTGCGTACATAACACAAAGAATCCGTAACATAACATACCATCATACATGACATAATATGACAACATATAAATAATACAACATTAAATTCGACATATTACACACATCTACTATTACGTCACTCGTACGTCATACTCATAACCGGTTTACACGGGTTATTGTTAAACTGGAAACAACCGGAGATAACCGGATTACGTTGGTTCAAACCGGTATTTACCCACGCGAGTCGCAACGTGTCTATAGAGTAATTATTTTTAGACTGACGACATGTTGGGACTTGGCGATGGAATAACGTGGAAATTGTTATTTAAATAAGTTAAGGAGATTGAAGAGGGGAAGGTGAAGGTTTCGGAGTAAATGGAAATAATTAAGAGCATTTTGCTTTGTGAAACATTTACATTCTAATTTATTTTGCAGGGACTATCAATCGTCTCTTCTTTCTGCGAAGCAGTGATGCTTGCAAAGGAGGAGGCGGAGCGCGTGATGGAACTATCCTCCTCACGCCCCAACCGACGCAGTAGGCGACATTCCGGTCGTCGGGGATCGAGAGATGATCTCCGGCCACCGTAAGCGCGGGTCTGCGGACGGCGAGTAAGGGTAGCTTACCGCTCGACCAAGAGAGAGACAAGACCCGAGCGTACGGCGCGTAGCGTTCCGCTCGTGCCTCAAAGAGCCAATAGACCACCACAGACGGGGCCCTATAGGGCTGATGCTCAGCTGAAGTTGCGGGTTAAGCGCAATGAGCCACAGTGGTCTCGACCTAGAGCAGGAGAAGCAAGGCGGGGTTTTTAGTCAGTAAGAGTCCGACACTCTCTCTTGCCTTACCCTGGGCGGGAGAAGTCATTTGACGATTTTCCTCTGAGAAAAAAAAGGACTATCAATCGTGTGTAATGTATCAAAAATTTTCCTATAACCTAAATTATAAAGCCTATTTTATAACACAACTCAAAAGGATTAAGAAAGTAGGTGGCACAGGCCGGATATAAATTTAGCTTCCAAGGTATTACTAAGAAATTCTTAAATGTAAACGCTTAAACTTAAAGGTGAAGGCCAAAGGTATGAATAGAATCTTCTTCATCATTAGAATTTGCGAGTTCCAGAAATAGTTAATCTGAAGATTTCGTAGCTCGTAGCTCGTAGCAACTACGGCGTAGCATGACGCGTAGCGACGTGGTGTCTAGTTATTCTTTTATGCCATAGCTTGATAAGCGAGCAGACGAATTACCTGATTGCCGCCCATTATCACTCGCAATACCAAAGGAGTTACTACAAGTGTTTTGTCAACCTCTTGTTGGTTATTAAGGATTTCAGAATCTGGGATTTAAGGATTAAGAGTGGGCAGGATCAGGTCTCCGGTAACCTCAATCGCACAGCGAAACACAACGAAAGGGTTACTTTACGCCGATTTTCTGTGAAGTCGTGATATCATTCTTGTAGAGCTGGCCAATTAGCGTGAAGGAATGGCTCTCAGACGATAAAAAAAGTACTTTTGAAAAACCTGCGATATGAATCAAATGCCAAAAAAAAGTTTTGGTTCAAAGTTAAAAGACATGTCTTTGTTAGAGATTGGTTTAATTTTGAAAGTTTTTTCTATTACATTTTATTCGCTTCTAAGCACTTAACTTATAAATTATATCTATAGATTCGTGGTTTTCATAGTAAAAGTTATCGGCTGCATGGTTAGTGCAGTGGCTGGATTAATAAGTACAGACTGCGTTTTTGTTAAAAGCTCCACTATTTAACTTATTTGACGGCGCGTCGATTATTTAAATTGAATGTTGAAGGAGGTTTTATCACAATTCATCGGACGAGGGTACAATGAATCGTACTCTGGCGGAACGTCAAACAGACAGTTCTGCGTGCGCATTATGGTGGGGAGCGAGCGCTGTGACTGTCATCTGAGACGGATCGCCGACGTCCGTTATTTTTGTAATTTATTCGGTCTGATTATAAAATCCTTACGCCTTGCGATGGACTATGAAGACGATGATCGGGATGTTGATGTTTGTACCAACGCCCCGGTGCATTCATATTTATTTCCGGCATTTTCAACACATATCGTTACTTATACGGTTCCATGCTGCCGTGCTGCCCGGGAGAAAAAGTAGCCATACATTTGCGTATTTTGGTAGAGCTATAGCTTTTTACACTACTATTTTTATAAGAGTTACTATTTTTATATTTTTTTAAGAAAGAAAGAAAGAAAGAAAAAAGTTTATTGACACAAACCATGTGCACACAGACACAGTAACAAAAAGGTTATTTAATATTAAAGAAAAAATAAAGAAAACTACTAAGGCGTAAGGATTTTATTAAGTGTGCCATGCCATGCTTCAACACGAATGGGTCGGCTCGACCGGAGTGATAACACCGCCTCACAGAAAAGCAGCGTGAAACAACCACAGCGTTATGTTTTGCCATGTGAGTGAGGTTACCGGAGGCCCAATCCTTCTCCTCCCCCAAACCCTCCACTCAACGTAACTCCTCCGTTGCGGGTGTCCAAGGGCGGTGCTTATTGCTTACCATCAGGTAATGCGTCTGCTCAATTGCCGACCTATTACATAAGAAAAGAGTACGAAGCCGCGGGCACAACCGAGTTATAAATTAAATGTACGTACGTAATAAAATGAACAAGATCACTACGAATTGTAATATCAGTTCGTTTGCTATATTTGTTTCTATTTAATGTTGACCTCGATTGACCTTTGCACTCAACCATATCACGATCTTCCTAATGCGGGCGCTATGCAGATTTAGCGCACTTTGATTTATTTAATCCTCTTTGAATAAAATAGCAGCTCTTCAGTCTTCTGTTAAATATACATTTATTGCAGCATTACTATGCAAGTAACAAAGCTTACTGCAATAAATAGAAGAAAATTTTCCATGATGAATTAGACAATTTTATTAATAAACGTTTATCGTGCAATTTTATATTTCTAATTATTCGTCTCTAAAAGTTCATTGAAATTATAGTAAAGTTAAATGTCTATAATCTCGCAAAACCCTTAATTTAGGCAGTATTTACACAATTTCAGATGAAAAAGCAAAATAGATCAACTTTTAAAAACACCCTACATGCCCAATACCATATAAACAATTATGAAGTGTGGGAGAGCCATGCTTCGGCACGAATGAGTCGGCTCGACCGGAGTGATACCACGGCCTCACATAAGACCGACGTGAAACAACCACAGCGTTGTGTTTCACCGTGTGAGTGAGGTTACCGGAGGCCCAATCCTTCCCCGCCCCCAATCCCTCCTCAATCCCTAAATCTCCAAATCCCTAAACCCTAAAAGGTCGGCAACGCACTCGTAACTCCTCCGTTGCGGGTGTCCATGGGCGGCGTTCATTGCTTACCATCAGGTAATCCGCCCGCTCGTTTGCCGACCAATTACATAAAAAAAATATACGCATTAGTAACTCAAAAAGGTATTTTTTCCAATATCAATTGTTTTACTTCTGACCTTTTAAGATGGTCTTCGGTCAGTCTATAATTCTGTTTATTTAAAAGTTTTGTGACAATGGACCACATGACCGTGGTTTGTGGTCGACCGTAGGGTAGCTTAAAGGACTTGTTTTGTGAAAAACTGAAAGTTTTCCTTCAAGTTTAAATCCTGAAATACATTGATTTTGTACCGTCTATTTTCAGTAGTGAAAGGAGGTCAGAATTTATAGCCGACTACAAGTAATTGTATCTTTCCTGTGTCAGAGAAAAAGGGATAGTAATCTAGAATTAGTTGTTTTGGTGTTTTTGAGCGAAAGAAAAGAAAAAATGACAGTCGTTATTTAACATTATTCCGGATTTATTGTATCTTTTGATATTATATTAATCAAGTGTATTCTCATTCGAGAGAAAACACCGAATCGATTAAAACTCTGAATGCCATGTGGGACAAAGGTGTTTGACGCTACTGGAAGAAAAGACTTCAACAGTTTTCGTTGCAGTCAAAGAGTCAATTGTCACATGTGACGAGATTCTTTTGAGGAGGAAACATCTTCTATTGGCCTCTTTTGCTCTGGATAAGGCGAAAGGGAGTGTCAGAGTCTTACTAACTTAAAACAACCTTGTTCCTTTTCCTACTCCGAGCCGAAACTGCGTTCCATTATTGCGCGCTTGTGACTACAACCCACTACACACACACACTTTTGTTACGAATGTTGAGATGAATTTCGATGAACGCCCATCCATCATACAAAAATTCTTTCGACATATAATTATTACTGGTGGTCCACCCTTGCTTTACATGGGTAACCAACTACCTCGGTGTCAGAAACCAACCGAAGACCCAAACCTTCCCCTCCCCCAATCCCTCCAAATCCCTAATCCCTAAAAGGTCGGCAACGCACTCGTAACTCCTCCGTTGCGAGTGTCCATGGGCGGCGCTGATTGCTTACCATCAGTTAATCCGTCTGCTCGTTTGCCGACCTATGAAATAAAAAAAACTATTTACATCTCCACTTTTCTAAAAAAAATTTTTAAAAATACCTTTTCACAACAAGACATTTAGCTACTTATTCATTTTTATTTTATATACCTAAGTTAAATTTACTATTTAACTTATCAGAAAATAATGGCTAAATATAAACTAAAGTTGACCACTGAAATCGTTCGTAGCTTTTAAGCTATCCATTGTTAAAAGCTTTAGTTTCTCGGTCCGATGGTCATTTGTTATTACGACGAAGCTTTTAAGTTTGATATTTTGTAGCGTAAACCTTTTAATGTATCATTATTAATTATGTAGTGCTATTGTTAGTTAATGTTTATATATTAACTGTGACTTTGATGTCAGTTTGTTGTTTTATGTGATTGTCATCAGTTCGTTTTGGAGCCGGAATTACAAGTTGCCGATCTTTTGAGCATCAGTGTTTTGGAGATTTAGGGATCGATGAAAGATTGGGGGAGAAGAAGGGTTCGGCGTCTGGTAAGCTCATTTACACAGCGAAACACACAACGCTGTGGTTTTGCTTCACTTTCTTTTTGGGCGTGGTATCACTCTGGCAGAGCCGACCCTTCCGTGGCGAAGCATAGCTCTATCATTATCTTTATTTATAAAACAGTAATTTACTACAAAAGCCATTTTTAACTTACATAATCAATATTAAGATAGATAATATTGTAATCAATCTTCTATATCGGTTTTCTCAACATACATTTAGAATGAGTTCATTATTGGAGACCGAATGAATGGTTTCAATGAAATCATTCACTCATTCAATCAAACGATGTATATTTAACACGTAGTTCTGGGGAACATAAAAGCCTTATTCTGAATTATCTGAATTGTTCAATGTTAACGTGATTTTCAGGATAATGAGATCAAAAGAATTTCAGATGTTTGCTACAAAAAACACTAAAATTTTCAAGTGTGAGCGCCAAGCTTCGTCACGAACGGGTCGGCTCGACCGTAGTGATATCACGGCCTCACAGAAAACCGGCGTCAAACAATCATAGTGTTGTGTTTCGCCGTGAAAGTGAGGGTATTGGGGCCCACAAAATACTAAACTGTACATATGTATTCATTGTCAATTTATAATATCTAACTTCAAATCCTTCATATTACTAGTCGATATTTTTAACCGACTTCCAAAAATGAGTGGTTCTCAAATTTCTCAATTCGACCCTACTCATATGTTATTTTTATGTTTGTTCGCCGATATATATATTTTTTATTAGAATTCAAAATGATTAAATTCAAAGTTATTAAATATTGTTTTCTATTTAACTAAACAAAAGTAGGTAATACTTTGTACAAAACAAATTTATTTTTTGCTTTTTAGGTTACTTTTTGATGTCGGTTCTTTTTCATATAGTTTTTTAGTTGTTTCGATACATTTGAGAACTCTGACTGTCTCTATATTTTTGTCGCTGACTGTAAAGTTGTACACGGAACAAAAAGCGAATGGATACGCTTCGTGACTTTCTATATCTTTGTGCTTCACTCTTTTATTTGACAAGCTTATTGATTTTTGATTCGAATAGGATATTAAAATCTGTATTTCTTGTTTTTGCTTTTTCTTAAAGATCATTTTTTATTGCTCTGTCTGTAGAGTATTTTAATAGAAAGTATTGTTTAATAGAGTCGTTCTTCTAATTTAAGCTTGTTGTCTATAATAGTATACTCGGAAGTTCGTAATATTATAAGTAGTGAATAATAAAAAGTATAAAACTTAAAACCCAACTACGACAAAAACCGACGCTGAAAAAATATAAAACAAGATTGTCAGAATACTGAAAGGCGTAGTCACACGTTATCAAAGTGCAGGTATGGTAAGTAAATGTAACGTGTGACTACGCCTTTCAGTATTCTGAAAATCTTTTTGTCCTCCTTTTGCTTTGCCGTAGTCGAGTAAAAATAGCAGCCATATTTACCCTGCTGAAAGTTTGCTAGGTATTATATGTTTTTCTGAAAATAAAATATAGCTACATTGTTTTTTTATCCTCAAAATCTTTACTTAAATAGTTAGAACCGTTCCGAAGGCTGTAGGTGTAATTAAAAATTATGTATAAACAATTATTTAGCTAGGTACCAATGCAATAAAAGATGGAAAAATATTAAGTATTATTAAGAATTATTTTTAGGTCTTTCCAGTAAATACTATTATTCTCTCACACTATTCACAACTCAACTACAACCGTATTGTGTCTAAATTGAATATTCCCAAATCTAAAACATTTTCTCTTTTCTACTATCCAAGGTCTAAAAGGCCTTCTTACGCAATAAACGAACTATCCGTATCTATCAGCTATCTAGAATGTCATTGAATTATTTACTAAACGTAATGGAGTATTTGTGCTCAATCAGACGCGTTAAAATCGGATTATCCGAACGGACGAGACGGATATTTCGAGAAGGTTATCCGGGTAGATTCAGGTAAGAACATGACGTAATAATGCCTAAGGGGTTAGCAGAGGTGAGCCTTTGCAGAACCTACACCCACTTTTCCCTGAGGAACGTGCCTAACCCTGATAAGTACTGCATACCGGGCTCAATTCAAATTTTCATATTGGTTCTTAGAATTTTTGAGTACAAAGAATTCAATATAATATATTTTAGTCTGATTACATTTAGTGATTCGAAAAGAGAATTTAAGATATTGCATATTGAAAAAAAATATTGTTTCAAAAGTTATTGACAAAAAACAAAAAAAAAAAAATGAAAAAAAATCAATTGAAAGCTTATTTCAAGAGTCAGGGAAATATAAAAATAAACCTTACGTTTAACAAAAGTAAATAAAACAACGATATCACTTTACATAATACACCAGAACCAGTCATCAATATATAAAAACTTTAAAACGGTCAAAAAATACACACCCTCACTTACATTACCATCCAAATGTATTTCTAATCGAGTAGCGATCGATTATTCTCGATTACGTCGTTCATTCGAATCGTCCGTCCCTTTTGAACAGAAGGTCATGGATTGCCATCAACAAGTAAGGGTTGTCGCTAAGCCTCCGACAAAGATGTACCGACAATATCGAATCTTATTGACAGATTTATATCGATACTTCGCCGAGATTATTTTTGTCTTTTCTCAAGTGTTGTGCCACGGTATTATCCGAACGAAGTTTGTCGAATGCGATCTCTTTTTGTTTTCTTCGTAAATGTTTTGTGAATAAATTGGATTTTGTTTTCTGTACTGGAATATTCTTATAAGTAATTGAAGAAGAATGTGCTTAGAATTATTTATTATTTTTCTTTTTGCGTGTTGTATATTAGTAGTTCAATTCGGCTTAGAATATAATGACGATGATGATAAAATGCTGAAGAAGAATCTTGTTTGTAGCAATCATATTTATTTTAAAATAACCGCTTACAGAATAAACAACCCAAAGAAAATCTCATCAAGAATTTAGGTACTTCAAAAAATATGGGCTACCGTGTACATAAATCTCGTTTTTCCTTCTTAAATAAAAATTACTTTTAAAAGTGCTTCAAGAGAGGGAAGCAACAAAAATAAGGGATTAGAAAAAACTTGGACAGTTTAAAGGCTTACCGAAGCCAGTAAGAGAACGCTTGACTAAATAAAAACATTACGCGGGAAAGAAAATGGCTACCGGTAACGGTTTTCGAAACATCATATCATTTTAAATTTAATGGCGGTGTAAATCTTTAATTGTACATCCGAGCGGTCTTGGGTTCATGTCGCCTTTTACGGACCTCGAAACACGAGTCATCTGTTTACTTTCAGTTTTGTATCACAAAGGAAATTAAATTTTTGGTAATCGCGATTCGAACATAGAATTTGAGATCTCATTTGATTTTTATTGCCATTTTAGCGTACTAGTTTGTGTCGATGATATTTCATTGAAAAGTGTTTGAAATGTTTTGATCTCCATAAAGTATGAAGCTTGTTTTTATAGTATTTGGAACAGGGGTGTGATTCTGTAAGACTTCATTCTAAACTTCGAATCTGAATCCGCCGTGAGTAGTAGTACACTAGCGCTACACTTGCGAGTTGAACTAAATTGACAGCAACATTTTGATAGATAAAGTATGAGATGACGTTAAAAGTGGCATTCTAAAATTTAATTACCAAGTTACTTCGACGCTCACTTCGCACTCGAACAAGATTCAAAATCAAACAAATTTTATAGAATCGACGTGCAGCTTATGAGATGAAATAAGAATATTAAAATCTTGATTATCGTTAGCCAGGATATGTTCATAATGGATAAAGCTGTTTAAAGGCTTCTCTCCCGGTTAAAGCCAAGGACAACGACGTGTATTTTATTGATTTCAATTCTACGTGACTCTGTATTTTCTTTCTTACACTTTGTATTGACATAAGCCTTAAGTAAAATAGAGAACCGTATTCGCCTATAAATAATATTAATGTACATGTTATCCTCTTAAGGATTACTCCCACTTTAATTTACTATTTTACCTCCAAGCTAAGAATAGGTTCCCCTGGCCTTCGAACGAACTTGTTGATTAAAATATTGAAGGCTTTTGAACGAATATTAACTAAGAGAATACGTTTCTAAAGTTTCTCTTGATATAAACCACATGAAGAGCGTACCTACCGACATATTATTTCAGTTAAATAGAAATGTCAGTTTGTGTGTCAATATAGGAATTACGAGTGAAACAAGTATTCTCTGAGGTTCATGCATTATATTCAAGGAGTAAATAAATAGTAATAGAAATGTATTTCCACCTACAGAAGTTCACACAAACCGCTTTCCTTTAGAGTTATTTTCGCTTATCTCACTTAATTTTATGAATAAACAATTTCTATTTGTTGGCGCCCAGCGTGGTACTAAAGTTATTAAACAAAACTAAGGCTAGCAACTATTTAAATTCATGTTCTATTACGTCTCGGCTCATTCAGATGATATTGCCTTTGAAAACTGGTGATTTAGGCCTAAAACTTCGTGTTTCGGAGTTGGCGCCCAGCGTGGGACACAGACCGCGACATTAAGTTTATTCATATAATTACGCTGAGCTGCGTACCATGTTGCGTAATGAATAAAGTTTTAACGAGTTAAGGGTTTATTGATATACAATAGGACGGCGCCATTTGTTGTTATGTATAAAATATCAAATTACCCTCGTTTTATCGATGACTTTGAAAAGTTTAATATAATAAATAGATGCTTCTAGATTATTTTACAGAGATGGATATGTTTTGTTATGAACCTTGCTAGTATTTGTTTACGAGTAATAAATGCGTAGTAGATATTTGATATCTGAAGCTTTGTTTCGCAAAGTCAATAAGCCCTTTATTTCGTTGCGATACGTATGGATACCTAAGTCAAAGATGAGAAAACGCAATATTTTTGTTTAAGAAATGTAATTTACTCGTTCTTTGAGATAGATTTTCAATAAAAATATGCAAAAGCTATGATTGTTTTCCATGAAAACTGGCGTCCGGCGTCCATTACTCGTCAATAAGCTAAATACTTTTTGCTATACATAAATTGTGTAAATCAGGGATAATATAACTCTGGATTCAAAATCTCTAATTTTGGTGCTTCCTTTTGTCAACAACTTAAAATAAGACATTCAACAAAATCAATAAAGTACTTATAATACACAATCAAAATTTCTCAAGAACTATTTCCTGACAATCGCGCACACATACACACACACACACACACACACACATACACACACGCACTTTATATTTCAATTTCCCTCTCAAAAGCCCATCTTAGTAAACAGCATTCAACCCTATTTCATAAAACCTTCCCAATCCCCCGCCACACTGCCACCAAGCCGAAGTTCACGTGTTTTCATTACGCCTCCAATGTCAATCACCACCTATATCTACTAAAGCTTGGCACGTTATTTTCTAAGAAAAAAAAACAAATTACCGCCAACTTACCGCACCAATAAGCAATAAAAACATCTGAAGAGCGCTCGAGAGAGGAAAGGGTGGTGAAGGTATACAGTTGTTTCATGCACCTTTATAAACGTGGGTAGGCATTAAATTCTTTTTCTATTTCGTAAGAATTCGTTATTTCAAATTTTAAATGTCATTTCGGTTAAGTGGTTGGTTGTTGTGCGAAATGGATGCGAATTTCAAATTTGGAAAAAAATATTTATTTTAAAGCATTTTATTTTTCAAAGTAAATTCTTTTGTTAAATAATTTTTGGGGCGGTTTTAAAAATATCTTGATAGTCAAGTTTGCCATTTTATGTACAGATTTTAAAAATAGAAAGTATTTCGTGTGAACTTTAAGTTATATCATTTGAATAAGTATCTAGATTTTTTTTTTTTATTTAATAGGTCGACAGACGAGCAGACGGATTACCTGATGGTAAGCAATCAGCGCCGCCCATGGACACTCGCAACAGAGGAGTTACGAGTGCGTTGCCGACCTTTTAGGGATTAGGGATTTGGAGATTTAGGGATTTAGGAGAGATTGGGGGAGGGGAAGGATTGGGCCTCCGGTAACCTCACTCACACGGCGAAACACAACGCTGTGGTTATTTCACGCCGGTTTTCTGTGAGGCCGTGGTATCACTCCGGTCGAGCCGACCCATTCGTGCCGAAGCATGGCTCTCCCACACTTAAAGGTATTTAGATGAAAGAAGTAAACTAGGTCCAAAATTCGTTAGAATACGAGCAATAGTAATAATTGGGAATGATATGAGATATGTTTTGTTTCTTATTGGAAAAACACTTTTTGAGCCTTAAAGCCTAGTTAAAATAATACGTTAAGTCTAATTTTTTTTTTTTTTTTTTTTTTGTTATTCTTTATTTTATGGGACCTTTGAACACAGTTCACGTCAGTCCCATCATAAACTAATCTTAAGTTAACTAACAAAATAAACAAACTAAACAAAAACAGTGCTTTAAATATTAACTAATGAGTATATCATTTTTGCCTCACGGGATAGTGGGCGAGCCAAAAAATAATAAAATACGCCTACGTCTAACCTATTTATATTTAGTTCTCTAATAATTCTGTTTCTCTCAGATTCGTTTCTGATGCACTCCACCAAAAGATGCTGAACATCCTCTCTTTTGTCGCAGACCTCACAGTTGGGAGAACTAACTTTTTGCATAAGATACGCAAAAGCTCTCAGTGGCATGTGTCCGGAACGAACCCGATGAGCAGTTACAACAGTACCACGGCCAATGTCATCACCATCAAACCATGGGATAGGAGGAGGCTCGTTTTGGATAATTTTGTACTAAATTCCTTTTAATTTAGATTGCTCATTAAAGTAATCTTTCCATTTGTCGAAACAATAAGTCTTAAATTTTGATAGTATTTCCGAACTAACTGGAAAAATGTAAATTTCAAAACCTGAAACTGACGCGATTTTCGCTAATCTATCGGCCTCCTCATTTCCCTTCAGGCCAATATGTGACGGGATCCACTGTAAAACAATGTTGATGTTACTTAAAAGAAGTGAGTGTATTTTCCTCATCACATCATAGGCAATCTATACACCTCTGTGTCCATAGGCGCATCGTACCAGATGCTGAAGGGAACTTTTGCTGTCGGTAAATATTACTACATTTGTAGTGTGAGATAAGGTTTCAACATAGGACAGCGCTTTTGAAATTGCTAAAATTTCTGCCGTCATAATAGATACCGAGGAAACTATTTTAAAACACTCACTTCCTTTAGCAACTGGGTCATAGTAAGCTGCCCCTATCTCGGTGCTTTTTGATGCATCTGTATATATTTTATACCATTGTCTATATTTTTCATTTAATTCTAACAAAACGTCATTTCTTAACAAATTAATTTCGTAATACCTTTTAGGTTTTAAAACACTTTCTAAATCAATTCTAACAACATTATTAATCGCAATAAAATTACACCAAATATTTAATTTATACATATCTAACGGGCTAGTCGAATAAATTTTTTCCTCTTTAATGTTATTGAAGGTAGTTAATAACAAAGGTTTTTTCTTATTTACCCAATATCTATTTGTTGACAGTGCACTCAGCTTATATAGTAACCCACTAGTGCTATCATTGACCCAAGACTTAACTTTACAACAATACTTAATTGCTAAATACATTCGACGAATATACAATGGAGGCAAACATAATTCACTCTCCATTACATGTATAGGTGTCGACTTAATAAAACCACCTATAGTTCTCATGGCTTGGTTTTGGATCTTATCAACTTTATAAACTCTTAATTTAATACTATTGTCATACAGGAAACATCCGTAATCAATACGACTTCTTATCAAAGCTATGTATAAACGTCTTAAATGTATGGGATGTACTCCCCACCCCGGCCCTGATAGAACTTTGAGGATATTTAACATTTTCTGACAACGTTCATTCAGTTCATTAATGTGTCGGCCCCAACGGAGTGAGGAGTCTAACCACATACCCAAGTATTTGATGTTATCGACTCGTTCTAACGGTTTATTATTAACTTCTATATGAACTTGTTGTCTTCTATGTCCTCTGCTAAACAAACATAATTGTGATTTTGATGCTGATAGTTGCAAACCTATTTTCAGTAGCATTTTAGTAATAATATTTATGGATGCTTGCATATGGATAATACTGTCATTTAGTTTTTTGCAGCTAGTTAATATTGCAAAGTCATCAGCGTATTGGCATATTTGTACAATGTTACTGTTATTGTTTTTTGCAACCTCCATCGTAACAATATTAAATAACAATGGTGAGATTGGGTCTCCTTGTGCGAGGCCTCGACTAGTCCACCTAACAATCTGATTATCTACAGTTAATTCATCACTAATAATTAGATGCCTTTCGCACAAGAAGTCCCAAAGGTAGTTGCATATTCTACTGCCCACCTTTAGTTTGTCTAATGTTTGGGTCACACTGTCAATTAACACATTATTATAGGCATTGTCAATGTCGAGAAAACATGCCAACGTCGGTGTATTATTAGTAAATGCAATCTGGACACTAGTAACAACTTGACTAAGAGAATCCAAACATGAGCGCCCTCTTCGAAAACCCGTTGTACTAGAAGATAACAACATATTGTGTTCAAAAAACCAATCTAATCTTTTATTTAACATTAGGTGAAAAATCTTGCACAAGCAAGATATCAATGATATTGGTCTTAACTTGATATCTGAATTACTACTACTTTGTTTTGGTATTGCAATGATTTTAATATTACGCCATTCAATAGGAACATAGCTCAAGTTAAATATTTCATTAAATATATCCAGTAAAAATGTTTTCGCAATTACAGGGAGATTAAAAATCATAGAATACGTAATAGCATCTTCGCCAGGAGCTGTGTCTTTTTCCTTTATACACGCTTCCAACTCTTGGTAGGTAAATTCAGATTCTAACAAAAAATTATTTGATGTGAACACAGGTTTGGAATACTGAACTGAATCAGGGGCCAAGGTGCGCAAAAGTTCTTGTTTCCTATCCATTGAAAAATAATACTTATCTCTTCTGTAGCCCTTAATCCATCTCATTTTGTTCCACATTTCAGAAGAAGATACTCTGCCGTCCACATCTGTGCAAAATTCTTGCCAACTGTTCGTCCTAGCTCGTCGTATTTCTTTTTGTGATTTTAATGTTTTATCCTCTAATACAGTTAAGTTTCTTGGTGTAGGATTCTTTCTAAACTGAGCAAGTGCGAGTCTTCTTTCAGCCACTAGTTTAGATAGGGTCTGGTTCCAATATGGTTTCGGTTTGAAATTCCTCTCAGGGTCATTGCAAATTTTAACCGGTGGAATGTTTTTATCTGCTGATTCATTGATGACAGAAATAAAGGTCGTGTACTTTTCTTGCACGCTATTCATAGAAATAACTAATTGTGTCAATCTGCTTTCAATGTCTTTAGAGTATGCTGACCATTAGCCTTCTTAAAATTCCTCTTTTTTATGCAATGGGGCACATCCTGGTAGTTCATTCTTATTTTTATCATTAAGTGATCACTTCTTAAATTTTCATTAAACACACACCAATCACAGAGAATTGCAATATCAGTTGAAGTGAAAGTGATATCGGGGGTCGTTTTCTGTAGCACATTGCTCACAAATCGAACTCTTGTGGGGTTGCCATCATTAATGGGTACATAGCCATACTCCAGTGCAGAATCCATGATTTGATTACCTCTCGTATCACTTTTACACGACCAATTGGAGTGATGTCCATTAAAGTCTCCAGCAATAATGGTTTTGTTTGTATAAAGTGAAAATAGTTCCTCCCAATCAGATTCTCTGGTTATTGTAGAAGGAGAACAGTAAATAGAAATAATATTCTCCAAGTATTTACAATTAAGGATTTTCACATGTAGCATTTCTATGCCTGTATTGTTAATTCTAGTAAACTTTATCTCGGATTTTATTGACTTGTGAACTATAACTGCAACACCGCCATACCTATCGTGTCTATCTTTTCTATAAGTAGTGTATTGCGAAATATTCAAACGACTCCCTTCCTCTAACCATGTTTCACAGACAATTGCAATATGTATTTTGTCTTTAATTAAGAGTGATTCAAATTCTGTCAATTTTGGTCTTAAACTTTGTGAATTCCACTGTAGTATATTAATGCAAAAATTCTTTACTTTCCTGTTATCCATTAAATGCACTGAATATCCTTTTAATTAATTCTCCATCTTTTATAAAGTCTACTGCATATGCGTATATTTCTTCAAATATCATCTTACAAAAGCATTTCACCTTATCTTCAACATTCGTATTAGATGTAACAATTTGTTTAATTTTTTGTACTAGTCTAAGAAATATTATTTTAAATGTGTTTTTCTTACTTTCCTCTTTCTTATCATGATTCTGATTTTCAACGATGTTGTTATTTATCCCCTTCCATATTCAACAAATCTATATCTTGGTCTCTGTTCGTAGTTAACTTTTTTCTAGTTTTTTTTTTCTTTTGTAATGTGCGTCCATTCTGTTCCTCACCCTCTTCAGTCAGTACTGTTTCACTTTCTTCATCATTTCTTTTCTCATCCATCAATGTGACAGGCATATTTGACTGTAATAATATATCTCTATAACTTTTAGATTGGTGAGACTGAGTCTGTTCCAATAAATCTAAATCATTTCCTTCATTTGCCCTTCTTTTAGGTATAATACTTTTATTTTTCGATAACAGTTCTAAAGCCTTTTTGTAAGAACAAGCTTCTTTACACATCACATTCCGTATCTCTTTTTCTTTCTGAAATATAGGACAAGTTTTGTCAAAAGACATGTGAGGACCATCGCAGTTTACACATTTAAAAACTTTAGTTTCACAATTAGTGTGATTTTTCCCGCATTTAGGGCATAGAACTTTTTTCCCCGGGCAATACTTTCTTATATGTCCATACTTCCAGCAGCCAGAACATTGTGAGACTGGGAAAGTATATGGCTCAACTTTAAACCTGCAACCGTAAGCATAGACATACGGTGGTAAAGTCGGGCCCTTAAAACATATCCTTATGGTCTCACTATCCACCCAATTGCCATCATCATTTAATCGCTTCAGTCTTAAGATAGAAATAATCTCTGTGTTGCATTTAAACATATTTCTAAGTTCTTCCATTTCAGTTTCTAAATCAATTTGTTTAATTATTCCATAGGAAACACTCAATTCAAATGTCATTTGACTTCGAAGGCCCAACTCCGCTATTTCTTTACAATTTAGTAAGATATTCGCTTTTTCTTGTGAATCAAATAAAATCAAAACTTTAAAGTTGCTTTTGTATTTAATTCTGTGTATGTCTTCTATATTGTACTTTCTCATCATTTTAGCTAGGGCAATCTGTTTCGGTAATGGTTCTTTAGAGGTAATACAAACTTCAAACTTATTGGAATTTTCCTCAGTGTGGGTGTGTACCTCAATTTGTGGTTCACTATTTTTGGATGAGCTTCTAATTAATCGTTTTGGTCTCCTGTTTACAGTTATAAATCCTTCTTCGTCTACCTCTCCTTCACCTTCATTACTTTCACTTCTCATTCTCTTGTGTCGCGGTAAGTCATTAATTTCTACACATTTTCCCATAGTACCTTCATCATCGTGTTGACTGATTGTAAACTCAGTTTCATCTTCACTAAAATCACACAATAGTCTAGGCAAACTAGTTGAACTTTGATTACTTTTATCACTCATTATTATACGTAACGTGAGGTAGTAGTAAAACACTAAATAGCATTGCGTTTACGACGGTTGGGCTAGCGCGTCCGCTTGACTCACCGATCCGCGCGCAACTGTAAGTCTACTTGACTTCGTAGGTTAAAGTGATAAAAGACTAAAATGTTCTGCAATACCTTATAAAAGATGCCATTTACATTATCACATTTAAAATGTATATTTAACATATAATTCACCAACTATAATACGCTCAACAGTTTAGAAAAAATAACCAAAAAAATGTTCACATTTATAAACTCGAAGCTATATTTAAAAAGCGTGCATTTTTCCACTTGAAATTCTTTCACACGATCCTATTTGCACACTCCACAAAGTACTAGAATATATGGCAACACTGCTCGAAACCTCGTTCGGGTCTTTATTTGAATATTTTATTGTAGCAACACAGTTTCCGTTGGATGTTACCGTTCGGTGTATTATTAGGAGTTCATTTTTATCTTGTAACGGAATATTACAAAAAGGGTTTTTTGTGTGTTATTTTCGTTTATTATTTACCTACCAGTACCGCTTTACTTAAAATAGACTTATTTTCATTAAATAAGTAAAAATATGATAAGCAAGATAAGTTACTTGATTCTTCATTATTTGAGCGGCGGATAGAATGTCTGTTTATTACAAAAAGTATTTGAAAAAGAAGTTTATACATTCGAAAATATTTGAGTTCTGAAGATTTCGAGATTAGTTACAAGTTCATTGATCGTCCTAGAAAGTAAACACCAATTTTTGGCACTAAGGGTCACTTTGTCATCATTATCAGCTTATAAGTGCTCACTGCTGAGCTACTCTTCTCACACGGAGAAGGTACTCAAGTATTGGCAGATTAGCTATGTCAAATCTATAATTAGAAATTATAAGTCCAAGTTTGTCTAAATAATCATACAAAGGACATGTTAACTCGGAAAAAGTCACTTTGGTCAATTAACTTCTATGTATAAGGCTGTATGTATTGCCTGTCTAGACTTTTCATTGTTTGCAACGAGTACCGAGTACTTTTTAACCAGAAAATTAAGCGATGCTTAACCACAATTTCAAACTTGACAATAAAGAATGTCTTTTAATAAAAAGCATCTAGAAAGCGAATTTTAAGAGGATGAACATCGGAGATTAAAACTTCCATTTTATTATAAAGTTCTCGAAGTTTCTACAGGTAAAACGGTGAGTTTGCAAAAACTTGAAAGTCATTAAACTATGAAACGATTCTGTGTGGAATCAATTTGGAATGCAGTTGCTTCATTTTGAATTTCAAGCCTTTGGTGTTCGTTTTCAATGCTGATCAGTATTGGATCTGTGCCAAAAGGATCTGTTTGCCTTGATTGATTAGACGCAGTTCAAAGGAAGTATGTAACGATTGTAGACTTAGAGACACATTTTTTACGGCATATGCCGCGCAAAGGATCTGACGGATTCCCTGATGGTAAGCAATCGTCGCCGCCCGTGGACATATTTTATACCAACGTAGTTACTACAAGAGCGTTGTCAACCTCTTGTGGGTTATGTAGTTATTTGTAGTAAAAGTCACATTAGTACTTGTCAGATTTTGAACTCCCTGGCACCCTAATATTTATTTTATTTCCAGGTCACCACAAAAACATTGAGATTAGGTCGTTATTATCAATAAATTTAGTATGTGTCACTATAGTATCGACTGCACGGTTGGTACGGTGGCTGGGCAACTGGCTGCCGTGCAACGTGTCGCGAGTACAATTCCCGCACGGAACAACTCTTTGTGTGATCTACAAATTGTTGTTCCGGGTTCTGGCTGTCATGTGCATCTGAAATTGTATGTTTGTAACTGCACCCACGACACAGGAGAAAATCCTAATGTGGGGCAACGTGTGTTTAACGTAAAGAAAAGTTACTATTATAAACAAGTTGTTAATGAGAATCTTATTAGAAATTAAAAAATAAATACATAATTCTGAAATAATGTATTAAAGAGATTCAGAGAACCAATCAGGATTCAGGCGTTGAATGAATGTGAATCAAAATACAGCCAGCAGTGGCTTTAGTTAGAAATGATTTTCGTTTCTACAAACTAATCCTGTTGGAGTGTCCGGTAAACTAAGTGCACCGGTCAAGCTCGTTTCCCTAACTAAATTGGTTGGCACTGAGTTCAAACTGGATCCAACTAGTTTTGTATTTTCACACAGAACTGTTGAGCTGCAATTTGCGCTTTAGATAGCGTTAGAAGTTGTTGTTTTACGGTTTGCAATGTTTTTGAGGTTATAATTTATATTTTCTGAAGTATAAGTTCATTTTTGTTTATCTAGTTTTTAGTGACGTGTATAGAAACGCACGTGTATGAAGGCACAAACATCAACATCCCGATCATCGTCTTCACAGTCCATCGCAGGGCGTAGGATTTTATAATCAGACCGAATAAATTACAAAAATAACGAACGTCGGCGATCCGTCTCCTATGACAGTCACAGCGCTCGCTCTCAACCATAATGCGCACGCAGAACTGTCTGTTTGACGTTCCGCCAGAGTACGATTCATTGTAGCCATTAATTTTGAAGGAGGTTTTATCACTATTCATCGGACTAGATGAATAGTGATAAAACCTCCTTCAAAATTCAATTTAAATAATCGACGCGCCGTCATATAGAAAGAGTAAGGAGCAATTTCGATAACTAATATTAGAGTTGATAATTATTATTTAAATGGATCCATTTTTGAGCTTAGTCGCGTAACACACAGTAATTCCTCGTTTTTCAATTAAAACCCTTGAATCAAAGTTACCAAACAAACCCAAAATTGAAACAGTAATCCTACATACACCTGTGACCTCAAAACAACCCTTGTGACCTCTGCAATTTATCTTTAACTGTAGAAATTTGAGCGTTCATGTCAAAATTTATTATCACGCATGACCTTTCAACGTAGCTTGGCTCATTTTCTCCTAACCTTTGTGCTCCTGACTCCTGATTAATAGAGGCTGTCTATTCAAAGAATCTGAAGCATTATGGAGCTTAGTACGCGAGGTGTTAAACTACATTCCTTTTTTAATTGTTTCGTGTCCACACAAATGATTGTAATTAAGTTTGGAACGAAAAATATGTTTGAGGTTATGTTGCTTTGTTTTATTTTGGGATTAAGGGTGTTACCTACTTTTATATAATGTAGTAGTTGTGTTTTGTAATGGCGGAGTGAGAAGAACTGGGACGCTGTCTCCTCATTTTGTGAAGCAGTCATGCTCGCAAAGAGAGAGGCGGCCCGCGTGAGAGAGCAATCTTCCTCCTCACGCTCCAGCCGCCGCAACTGGCGACACTACGGGCGTCGGGGATCGAGGGAAGATCTCCGGCCACCGTAAGCACGGGTCTGCGGTCGGCGAGTAAGGGTAGCTCAGCGCCCGACCAGAACCAGGCCCGAGCGTACGGCGCGTAGCGTTCCCCGCGCGCCTCAAAGAGCCAATAGACCACCACAGACGGGGAACTAAAGGGCTGATGTTCAGTCGGGGTTGCGGGGTAAGCGCAATTAGGCACCGTGATCTCGGCCCAGAGCAGGAGAAGGAACAGGGGGGTTTTTAGTCAGTAAGAGTCTGACACTCCCTCCCGCCCGGCCCTGGGCGGGAGAAGTCATTTGATGATTTTCCCCTCACAAAAAAAAACCTTATAGGGATATAGGGACAGAAAAAGCGACTTTGTTTAATACTATGTAGGTAGCGAAATAACAATGACAACAAATATAAAATAAAATAAAAAAAAACATATAAAATAAAATAAACAAAAACACGAAAGAAAATAAAAATAATTGCATAATTGACATCATTAGACAAAATATCAAACCAATCATAATATAAGAAGAGATTTCTGAATGTAGATGAACCGAAAGGTGTATGCCACAATCGTGTCATTTGGCAATGTCCTGCCTACTCCAAAGAGAGAAAGGCGTAACAATATGAATGTGTACATAGGTACATATTATATATAACTCATTAACTCTAAAACATTATAAATACGACAGAGAGAGAGACACGAAACAATAGTTAAATGCAAGATTGAAAACATGAGCCGACAGCTCGCTCACTAATTAAGCCCCCTAGCTAAATTAATTTGAGATTTATTTAACATTTCTACATTAATTCATTTAATACTGCTGTATCTAGTTTCTGAACAAGTAATTAATTTTCAATTTGACTTTTGAAACTGTAATTAAGAATGCCTATTAAATATATGCAAGTTGACTACATTGAGTTTGGGTTTTTTAAATTGAAAATTCTCAGTTACTGCATTGAATCCTTTGTTTCGTGGTCATTTTAAATGTAAGTATACAGAAAGCGTAGTGGCTGGGTGATTGGTGTCACAAGGTCTAATATACCGCGGCCCCGGCTTATAGCAGGAGTAAGAATGACAGTAGGGTTTTTAGTCAGTAAGAGTCTGACCCTTCCTTTCTTCATACCCTGGACGAAAAAAAGTTTTGCTGATTTTCCCTCATCATGGAAAAATAAGAATATCGCATCTTCAACCAGCGTTGTGGACGAAAACAATGTTACGCAATCTCAGCTCGAAGCAGGAGAAGGAACAGGGTGGTTCTAGGTCAGTAAGAGTCTGATATTCCTTCTCTCACCACCCACCACCTCCTTCAGAGCCTTAGATTCAATGACCCCCCCCCCCCCCCATTACAGAAGTCTTGCGTAAAATGCTTTTTTTTAATGAGTTTTTTTTATTAAAACGATTATTATTATTTCAGAGTACGGTAATTCCACGGCGTATTATTGTGAAGTCCCATAAGGTATGAGTCAGGTCTCCTCGATGGCTTTCATACCATACGAAATGGTAACGATTCGTATCCATGTACATTTCTATTTGGTCAGACTTCACAGAACTTCAGTTAAACCGACCTATCCTTATACCTCATTAGTTGTCGACTGAAAACTTTTTCGTTTGAATACAAACCGCTCCGAGTTAATCATCCAGTGTTGCCAGTTCAAAATAAACTTTATGTTTGTGTCTGTG